TGGAAAAGACCCTGATGCTAGGAAAGACTGAGGGCAAGAGGAAAACGGGGCAACATGGGATGAAATGGCTGGATGGCATCACTGACTCAATGGACACGAATTTGAGCAAACTCTGGGAGATAGTGAAAGATAGGGAAGCCTGGAATGCTGCAGTTTATGGGGTCACAAACAGTTGGACACGACTGAGCAAATGAATAACACAAAGTGATTAATTGAACTTCAGTTGTTTTAACTTCTTACACGTTTATCCCTTTGTTTATCTGGTTATTCTGCTCCCTAACAACCTTTTTGCTTTCATAACCGCCAGGGAAGCTGCCTGCTCAATGAGACAGCAGGCTACCATAGACACTCGGGTTTTGAATAAACTGCGTTTGAATAAACTGCGTTTGAACAAAGGTCAACATGACTGTTTCTTTTTATTATGAAACCGTCTGGCACCTTTTACTTGTATGTATCCTCCTTTCTGTCTAATAAATATTACATTTTTCTCAAAAAATATAAGTACATAAATGTTCCTTTAAATTCACAGTATCAGAGTATTTTATCACAGCTTAAGAAGGGATCAGTTCCCTGAAACGAGGTGTCAAACCGAAGACTTCCACCTACCAAACACTGTCAGAGCAAACACAAACAAAAAGGCGTCCAAAGCCGGCCCCGCGGGCGAGGGGTGGAGACCCCGCCGCGGCCAGGCGAGGGGCGCCGGAGCCCCGGGGAGGTCCGGACCCGGCGCGAGGGGGGGGGGTTGGGTCTTCGGGGCTGCGCTGAGCCGTGGCCGCGGCCCTCCGCCCGGGTCGCCGCGGCGCGCCGACGGGTTTGAGTTGTCGCGAGCGAGCGCAGGGCGGGAACACGGACCGGCTCCGCTCCCGGCGGCTCTTTGCGGCTCCCCGGAGAGGGTCGAGGCTAGTGGAGGTCCGGCCCGTTGGCCCTGGGTCCCCCGGGTCTGACTCCGCGCGGGGCAGCGCGGCCTCCGCCCAGGTCAGGTCGCCGGGCTCGGCGGTGGCGCGCACTGCCGCGGTCTACTCTGCGCAGCCAGGGGCCTGGGGGTTGCGCCCCCTGGACGCGGGAGGCGAGCTGGCCGACTGACGCATGCGCAGCTCCCTAGAGGGCCACGGCGGTGGGCAGGGCAGGCGAAAGGGGTCTGAGAGGTGGGTCCCGACGCCGGGGGCTCTAAAGAATCCCTGACGGTTCACGTCGAGTCTGCCTTTAACTTAGGCTCCTGCGTCCACTAGCCGGTCTATTTGACCTGGGAGGGACCAGGTATGGGTATTTAAAAAATACTACTCGAGGTAGTTCTGATTTGCAGTAGGTTGAGAATCGCTGTCTTTATTTCCTAGTGTTGACTTCTTAACTCGGACTTACCAATGCCCCTCATGACAACTCCTAGTCCATTTTTTGTTTCAATATCCGCTTCTCCTTGACTGATTCTCTTCATGTTTCCCGATCTGAACCAGATTTGTTTGCCCAGAGCTTTCCACCAGCCAGTAGCTGTCCTTTGGTCTTTACTCACCCTTTCCAGTCAGGATTCCCAAGAAGGGAATTTGAATCTATTGACCCCCTGGCACTGCCATTGTCTGGGTGGGACTTTGTGGCCCTAGTCCTCTCCCAGGTTGCAAGCCAGCCTGTCCCACCACTGCTAGTTGGGTGCTCTGATCCGGGTAAGGGGGGCACCGCAGGAACCCCTCTTAACAAAACAGGGAGGGCCAGTGGACCTGGCAGTGTCCCTTACTTAGGTTGACTTGCTTAGTCAGCTTGGATTTTCCACGGGAAAACTATACACTGTTTTTTAAAAGGACACTTCACTCAGAAAATGTATCATCTTAATTCAGCAGTTTCCATAAGTAGCCCTTAATCTAAGCTCCAGGAATTAGCTGTATCAGATGCCATGTAATATATACTGTGGCTGCTAACATTAAACAGTTTCTTCTTATTCGATCAACTAAAAAGAAATACTGTGATTCCTCTCCCAGCTTGCCTTTTAATTTGGGAGTCAGAACAACTGGGGGTGGGTGGGGGAGTCCTCTGGGGCAGGGGTGTGGTGAAGCAGAGGGAAGATCCAAGTTTCTGTAGCGCTGCCATGCTCCTACCAGGCTTTCTCTCCCGATTCTCTCACTCACCTTTTCCTGCAGAGCATACCTGTTGTCTTGTCCCTGTCTCTGCTTTGGAAAACAGAACCCCTACTTCTTTCGGAGGTTTTCCTTCCTCCACTCCAAACCAGAGTCCGGAGGGAGGCTCAGTGCACTGTAACGCCTGGACTCCCGCTGATTAGTCCAGGTGGCTCCTCATTGGAGGCCCTCCCCAGCCTCCTTTGAAGCAGAAGTTGGAAGGAAAGTCTGTCTTTCTCATGCTGCTGCTGCTAAGTCGCTTCAGTTGTGTCCGACTCTGTGTGACCCCATAGACGGCAGCCCACCAGGCTCCCCCGTCCCTGGGATCCTCCAGGCAAGAACACTGGAGGGGGTTGCCATTTCCTTCTCCAATGCATGAGAGTGAAAAGGGAAAGTGAAGTCGCTCAGTCGTGTCCGACTCCTAGCGACCCCATGGAGTGCAGTTTACCAGGCTCCTCTGCCCATGGGATTTTCCAGGCAAGAGTACTGGAGTGGGGTTCCATTGCCTCCTCCTGCCCTTTTCATGAGTTACACATTAAGATATTAGGAGCTACTGGCGGTATAGTCCGTTGTATCCTGACAGCATGTGGTGAATGCTGATTGACAGAGAGAATAAGGCAGACCTGCAGAGAGCGGACAGGAGAGGCGAGGAGCCCCAGGTGGTGCTGGCGGTGGTCCTGACACTTAGCTGTAGCCCTGTCCTTTCTGCAGTTTGGCTTTATAGCCCTTCCTTTAATATGTGAAATCCCATGTTGTCCTAGAAATGCACACGTGTATCAGTTATCTATTGCTGCATAAAAGCTTATCCCAGAACGTTCTAGTTGGAAACAACAAACATTATCTCACAGTTTCTATCAGTCAGCAATTGAGGAGTTAGCCTAGCTGAGTAGTTCTGGCTGTCTGCAGTCAAGGTGTCATCTGGGACCGCTGGCAGGCCTACTTCACTGACTGCTGGAGACTCCTCGTCCCTCATCACCTGGACCTCTCCACAGGCTGCTTGAGTGTCCTCACAATATGGCAGCTGCCTTCCCCCAGAGCAAAGCTGTCCAACGGAGCAAGGAGGAGGCCACAGTGCCTTTTATGACCTGGTCTCTGCAGCTGCACACTGTCACTTCCACTTTAATCTGCTCTTTAGAAGCAGATCACTGTGTCCAGCCCGCCCTCAAGAGGACATAGGCTCCACACAAGTAATCAACGTGCATCTAATTCTGTGGTCCCTCTGTTCTCCCCCACCCACCCCTGCCTCCTCGTCTCTGGGACCCAGGTGTTTCCTCACTACGCCGCCTGAAACCTGTCCTCCGCGGTGTGTAGCTCTTTCAGGGGTGCCTTGGGATCTTAGGAGTTCTCTTTGATCCTTTCTTATCAGCTCTGATAGAACTGAATGCATCTATTCCCTGTAAAAGTCAGTTCTGCCTTGGCAGGACACCAATCCCTCCCCTATACTGTGGGGTTAGAGAACAATTTTAAACCAAAAAATGAGGGCACAGTATGTGAACAGAATATTTAGAATTTGAGCTGCTCCAGAGCTCAAAGTTGTTTTACCTACATACTTTTATTTCTTAGGGAGGTAAGAGGAATCGTAAGAACTAATAGTGACCAATGATTTCTCTGGTGGTCAGTTCCATGGAACACACAGGAGTTTCAGGAAGGAGTCAACCTTCCCATGGTCAACCTCCCATCGCCATGGTGACAGGTCACGTGGAGGATTGAGTGGCAGTGGATGTGATTTCTCAGCTCTCCAGCGGGGAGGCGGGAGCAGGAGGGCAGGAGCTGCACGCCCTGTGCAGGGCAGGTGAACCCATCAGGGCTCTGGTTTGTAAGCATCAGACACTGACTAGGCCAGTGTGAGCAGAAAAGAATTTAGTGAAAGGACATGGGGATAATCGTAGAATTTCTGGGAACACTGACGAAGCAGCTTCTGAAAATGGACTGGGAGAGGAAGACAAAGCCCAAATCATGCTGCAGACAGTGTGACTACCACCATGGACTCCGGAGATGGTGGCCGATGACACAGACAGCTCCCAGAACACTGGACCTGGCTGCCGCGGCTGCCAAAATAGACAAGCCACCGCCCCTGCTTCACAGCGTCACTTGCTCCCAGTGCAGAGCTCAAGGCAGATCCATCTGATTGGCTGAGTCTAGATCATCTGTCTGTGCCTTGTTTGCCAGGGAGCTAGGAAAGCAAGGCTTTTCAGCTTCTGTTATGGCAGGTGGGCTCAACCTTCCACCAGGGTCAAAGGGTGCGGGATCTTCAGACTGGAAGAAGACCCTGACCCAGACAGCCAACACTCCTCAGAGTCCACTCCAGGAAGTAAGAAACTTGAGGGTCCAGGATCATTCTGGTAAGAAGTTTGGAGGGAAAGGGAAAGGCAGTGGTAAACTAAGGGAGGAGCAAAACAAAAGAGTCTTTCCTTTCTTTTCGGTAAGATTAAGGGACCTGAGCAGTTTCATAGAGGAGAAGAAAAAACAAAGTTTCTTGACAAGGAAGCTTGCACTCCATTCTGCCTCTAGCATCAGGACAGAACTGTTCAAAAGACAAGACCACCTTGAATAAAAGGACATGTTTCTGAAATAAAGGAACTAAAAGTATTACTCATGACCCTTCAAAAATTTCATATAGTCTTTCTTGGTCTGTGTCTATTAATTACATTATCCCCATGTTAAGAATGCTGCCTAGGCACAGAGCAGGATTCAGTAAATATTATGTAATGAAAAAAATTTTACTTATCTGTTGCTTTTAATTTAATATCTAAATAGATATCATATTCTTTTATAATTACAATATGGAAATGTCTATGAACAAAATAGATAAACTTTTTGTCATATGCTGAGGAAAGAATGGTGGTAGTAAGATTCATCCGAAGTTTTTGCAGCAGCAGCAACGCAGCAAGAGTATGGTCAGTGTTTGGGGACAGAGGTAAATATCCGCAATCCATGCATACCTTTGATTTCTTCTTTTAGTGCCTAAGGAAGCAGAAGAGCATCATCATTGTTTTGTATTTGACACTGATTACAGTGAGTCTCTACTGGAATATTTTTATATATTAATAGCTTTATCTCTGTAGGACACATTGCACACACTCTTTCTTTAAACAATCTTTACCTTTTTTTTTTGGAAAACACTTTTCTTGGAATCGCTATTTAAGTTGGCTCAAAAATCAAAAGGCATAAAAAGGCATGTCCTTAAGTCTCCCTCCCACAGGTGTCCCCCAGTTTCCACCTCCCTCCCAAATATAAAACTATTGTTACTTCCATGTGTATCTTTGTGAGAATTTAAGAAAATGCATGTTCAAGCTAATATGAATATATATTCCACCGCACTACCTTTTTAAGCCACAAATGATAGCATTTCAAACACTGTTCTACACTGTTTTCCCCTAACGCAGGATCTTTCTGTTTCAGGCACAGAGCACAGCCTCATTCTTCTCTGTGTCAGCACAGTGTTCCACTATATGCATTCTAACTTTCTAGGCTGCCCCAGTGAAGAACTTTTAGGCTGCTCCCTGTGTCTTGCTTTTTGAGCAAAGAACAGCTGTTCTTTAAAACCACACCAAGGAGGCTTCCCTGGTGGCCCGGTGGTAAAGAATCCGCCTGCCCGCGCAGGAGATGTGGGTTTGATCCCTGATGCAGGAAGGTCCCACACGCTGCGGAGCAACTGAGCCCATGCACGTAACTACTGAGCCTGAGAACCGCAACTGCTGAAGCCCGTGCAGCCTGGAGCCTTGCTGCACAAGAGAAGCCCCCGCTCTCCACGACTAGAGAAAAGCCCTCGCAGCAGCCAAGGCCCAGCTTAGCCAAAAATAAACAAATGAAACAAAATTATATTAAAAAAAACCGCCCACACTGGGAGCTCCCTGGTTAGTAGTTAAGTAGTTTAGTAGTTAAGATTCAGCACTTTCACAACAGAGGCCTGGGTTCAACCCGCGGTTGGGGAACTTGAGATTTCGCAAGCTGAGCAGCATGGGCAAAATTTTTAAAAATTACTTGAATAAAAGAAAAAATATATGTAGCTTCATGTAAAAAATATTTTAAAAAATAAAACCATGCTCACCAGCACCAATTCCCCAATTGTACTCTAGATCAGAATAAAGTTGTAAATTAGGAGATTTGTTTAAGGCTACAAATGATGTCAGGGCCCAAGTGTAAATGAGGAACCACAATCAAATAGATATTTAGTCCCTGCAGCACCAGGAGATAAGCTCCAGGACCTGAATGGGGCCGGAGGTCAGGCTCAGGCCTTCCTGCCCTGCCAACCCTGCTCCAGTGGTTGTGAGCCTGGCTACGTAGCTGCTCCAGGTTAAAAGTACACTAATACCAGGAGATGAATTCTCTGAAATGGGAAGTCTTTCAGGCATTAAACATTTAATTTCTCTGTAAAATAATAACCAAACCCAGGCCAGCTCTCCTTTCCCTCTATCAACTATGCTCCAATATAAAATAAAATTTACGAAAAAAGAAAATAGACACAGGGCTGGCCTGCACAGTCAGCTTCCTAGGGCAATGACAGACAAGTGAGCAAGGTTCTCCAGCAAGGATGGGCCCAGAGAGAGCACGTGTTCAGTAGGGGCCCAAAGGAAACTTTGAGTGCAAGGTGATAGAGATGACATTCTCCCAAGTGGAGGAAAGTGCTGTCATGCCCCTTGGACTTGGTGCAGGTTCCTCGCAGTGCTTACAGGTAAGATGATGGTGATGGCAGCTGACATTGATGAAGGGTTCACCGTGTGGCAGACACTCTTCTCAGTGCTTTACATGACTTTACCACGAAAGAGCCCTTTGAGGCAAATCCTGTTACTCTCCCTGTTACAAATTAGGAAACTGAGGCAAAGGGAGGTTATGTAACTTGCTCAAAATCACACCGCAGTCACAAGAAAGAAGCAGTGCCCAGATCTGAAATGCGGGCAGTCTAACTCCAGAACCTACATCCTTGTGACCAGGGCTTCAGGCCAGGGGGTGTGCTGTAATTAACAGACCCCCTAGGAGCACAGTTGCACTAGGCAGCTTGAGTAGTTTTGATAACAAAACCCAAAGTTCTACCAGCTGGGGGTGATCTGGGCCAGCCAGGTCTTCTTGCCTTGTCATCTACCTTGGCTCCAATCCCTGGGGTCACAAGGGGCTGGCAGTGCTTCTAGAGGACAGGACTGGTTGCGGTTGCACCTCAGACCGCCCAGTGACCACCAGCATGCCCCAGAGCCTTCTGTGCCCACAGCCAGGGAATCTGAAGATGGATCCAACAAGGAACCAGAGTATCCATGGACCTAAGTATCTAGGACACAAGGCAGGAAAGGCTGGATTCAGAGGGGGGAGGGCATTTACTCCCTGCTGGGCAGGTGGGGAGGCAGCATTTGAGCCTAGCAAAGAAGTGAGGGAGGGGCAGCCCAGGCAGGAGGTCTGATCCGGGCAAAGGGCCAGAAGCATGGAGAGACCAATGGGCAGGGGCCAGAGGGAGGGTCCATGCCAGGAAGGTGGGAAAGGCCTGGGAGAGTCGTTTGGAACACCTGGACTGGACTTTCATGGCCAGAGCTGTGCTTTACAAAAGGTGAACTAGTTTACAAAGTCCTATTTTCCAGAATGATAAACACACTGATGGAGGGGTGAGCTTACAGACACAGGTGCAAGGGTCAAGGCTGGTATAAACTGCAAGTGAAATAAGCATAGATCATGAATACACTGGGCCTTAACCAGGTTAAATCTGATGTTCCAGCCCCCTGCTGTTGTCACTGGGTCTGGGACAGCTGGAGCAGCTCTCAATCAGGCCATGCCTCCATTTACCCACCTGTAAAGTAGTCCTAAAAGAGGCTTAAATGAAACCTTCAAATCTACAAGAACATGTATCTTTTATTGTCTTATGTTTACAAACACTATTCAATATGCAATAATAACAGTAAACATTGGTAGTACTATACAGGGAAATATAAAATAACTATTGGGTGGCCTGTTTTCAATTTTGAATAAAATTTGTATTTGCCTACACTACAATCCCAGATAGTTTCAGTTTATGTTTTTCTGAGATCCCGAGTCTGGTTCACATGATGTGGTACTGCACTGTGCTTTCCTAGGATGGGAAGTACAACGCTGCCTCCACTTGCAGGCCCTTTCAGATGCAGAGATGTGACAAAGCAGCACTGCTGCCTCTACTGACCTGATTAACCATCTGGTGCTGCTGGACAGTTCTCTTCTCTTTAAATTCTTCTGATTCAATTTTAATTTCATACATTGCCCCACAGCCTCCTGAAATAAATGTCATTTGAAAGCGTTTCAGTTATTAAGTTACAGCAACCACAGTTCCTTATGTCCTTGAATAAGTACCACACAATCCAAAGAAGTTCTGAATGTCATCATTCAGCAGAAAGCTGCTAAGACTGTTAGATGATCATGGCTTACAATCTGATCCCGCCCTCCCCCTGGCAGGCTGCCTCAATCCCAAATGTGCTCTTCCTTCTGCAAAGCACTTGTATTCCCCAGCATTACTGTTTCCAGGGTAGGAAAGATAAGGCACAAGACATGCAAAGCCTAAGAAATGTCAGTTGTCCTACTAGTTCCTTTTATTAAGCCAGCAAATGCCATGGAAGAAGATGGGAGGGACTGAATTTCAATGTCCCACTTCCCAAAGGACCAGCAATTGGTATTTTTAAAAATGCAAAAACACATTAAAATCTGACTTGAAAACCACGTGCAGTCATATCTGAAAGTAAAGGAATAAGGAAGTGTGAGAGAGATGATCTGAATGCTATCATTCAGCAGAAAGCTGAATGATATGGACAGAGCATTCCAATGAACAGTGAAGATGTGCTAATCACAGAGCTGGGCTCTCCAGCACCCCTGCTCTACAAGCTGCATTAAGGGTTTCCCCCTGGGCTCTGGCCGGTAAGGGACAGCTCTCAAGGCAGAGTTTGTCTGGACCCATCTACCCCTGGACCAAGCTTTGTCTCCATGTGGCTTGAGAGCTAGGGCTGATGAATGATAACAATAAAATGTGCTGCTAGGACTTCCCTGGTGGTCCAGTGGCTAAGACTCTGTGCTCCCTATCCCGGGGGCCTGGGTTCGATCCCTGGTCAGCTAACTAGATCCCACATGTTGCAACCTGACACAAACAAATAAATAAAAAGATAAAATGTGCTGCTCTAGCATGAAACAATTCAGCAAGAAAGTGCCATGCATTCAATAGGCTCTGTTAAGCTTTCCTTATATGTTCTAGGAGACTAAGTTTTGGCTAAACCACGGTTCCCAGCCTTGCTCCCCTTTCTGCACTCTACCCAGGACTAGGCAGAGCCAGACCAGAGGTCAAGTTCCAGCTCTGCCCTAACTGGGCCTGTGGCAGGTACAGGACTGGTGACATCAAGACCTCAGCATTGCCCTGGGACCCCTGCAGGGGGCTCACTCAACCTGCCATTCTGACAGATCTTTAGATTGGTTCATTTCCTACAGTGACCAGGATAAAAGGACTTTCTGAACTTTCTCCTAATCCTTGTAAATGTTATGTTCTGAGAAGCCAGTGAGCCCGAGAGCAATGGAGAGTGATAAAGACTGTCTGGGTGTGGGAATCGCCAACTCGTCCACATGCGTGTCTGGATAAAGGTCTTATCTTTCCCGTCTAATGGGGGCAGACGTTGATTGCCCAGCCTGCTCCTAATCCAGAGTCAGCCTGAACTTGTGAGGCCCCAGCGGCCATTCAAGAAAGGCGGGGCCTGGCCAGGGCTGGTCACTGGGCTCAGGACAGTCTCCCTAGGTCCTGGTCCTGCTGCTGCCTCCCTGTAAAGGGCCAGGCAAGTTCTTTGGCTTCTTTGGACTCATTCTTCCTGGAATCTGTTCCAGTTCTGGCATTCTAGGGTGTCAGAAGAATGTGGGGAAATTAAAGTCTGGCTCATCTCAAAGTCAAACTAAAGACTGGAGCTGAGCCCCAGGGTGACTGAGAGGAGTCTAATCTGAGCCGGGCCAGGTTGGCAACCCTGAGCCCTCGGAGTTCCCCGCTGAAGTCTCTGCATTCCCACCTCCACCCCTTCTGGGAGGAGAGGCCAAGGTCGATCTGTCCAAAACCCACACACACTGAGAAGCCACTGGTGGTGAGTACCAGTCCCCTGCCCTGTTCCCCTCCGGCGAGTAAAATCCTACCAAATTCTGTGGGAGAGATGAGAGCAAACCTTACCCGAAATGTCAGTGACTTTGATAGCTGTAGCTCGAGGAAACTTTTCTTTGAGAATCTGGGTCACTTTGAGCTCCCCCTCAGTCTGTGAGGCAAATGTGCGCTGGGCCCAGTGGAGAAGAGGAAGCTGCCGCAGAACAGAGGAGAGTCACTGTGCAGGCCCCTCTGACCTCCCCTGCGAGGCAGGGCCCTGGGCTAAATTGGGGGGACTGTGTGGCATCAGATGTCCATTGAAGTTCCCCAGGATGCAGAATAAACTTTTTTTGAGGGAGGAGTGGAATTGTAAATAACTAACTTGGACTCCAGAGATAACAAGGTCCCTAAGTTAATTCAACAGATGTTTATTCCTCACGACAGTGAGACCCTATCATGAAGACAGCTTTAGTGAGGTGCCTGAAGTGCCAAGTGATATGCTCAAGGTTGGATCCCATAGGAAGATGCAGACTAGGAGAGGCCAGGCATGCCGCTGACCATGTGCTAATGGGACGAAACAGCACCCACCCTTTAGGCCTGATTAACATTCCACATTCTCTCCAGTGGGTATAACCCTGTGACCTACTGCTATAAGGCAGCTATTCTCTGCAATCCTTGCTGGAAAGAAGAAACAGAATTCTGTGAAAGGACCTGAAAGAGGAACATTTTTAGATTATTTACCATTGGAAGTAACATTCTTCCCTCCCCAATGGCTACCCTAAGGAGCCAGTGCTTCTGATGGGTATGTGTCTCAACCCTTAGGGATGAAGATGCAGAAAATCATCTCAGCAGCCCCTTGGCTAGGTTAAGCACATGCTGAAAAGAGAGACTGAAAATAGCATGGCAGGGACTTCCCTGGAGATCCAGTGGCTAAGACTCTGCACTTCCAATGGAGGGGGCCTGGGTTCGATCCCTCGTGGGGGAACTAAATCCCACATGCAGCAACTAAGAGTTTGCATGCTGCAACTAAAGCTCCTGTATGCTGCAGCAAAGATAAAAAATTCTGCATGCTTCAGCTAAGACCCAGTGCAGCCTAACAAATAAGTAAAGATAAACATTGAAAAAAAGAAAATAAAGTATGGCAGGGCTTCAGTGTCAGGGTAAAGATTTTGGACTTTTTACACAGGCTTCTTGATGCCAATGTAACAGTGCCTTTTGAAGCAAGTCAGGAAAGATTCCCACGTAAGAGTACCCTTAAAAAGGGAGTAGTACCAGGCTCCCTGGCTGGAGGAGGATGGTGGGTGAAGTGCTGTTCACCACATGCTGGTGCTGAAGCTACCATCCCTTCACCCCCTCAGTCTTGCCCATCCTCAGGCCTTTTCTGATGGCTTAGAGCAGGGTCCTGTGTTATAGAACCTCAGAGCACCTTCTTTAAAATACCCTGTGCACTGACTCTTTCACCAATTGGTCTTAGAGGCCAAGACATGGGTCTGTCCTGCTATTGCAGTCTTCCAGAACTGACACAGGGCAGGCCCTCAGGAGAACTTGAGTGATGGGTGAATGAATGAGCAGGGGGAAATATCCACACAATTCAGGACATATGTATTATGCTGTCATTTGCTCAGTGGTGTCTGACTCTTTGCGACCTCATGGACTGTAGCCCGCCAGGCTCCTCTGGCCTTGAGGATTCTCCAGGCAAGAATACTGGAGTGGGTTGCCATGCTCTCCTCCAGGGGATCTTCCCAACCCAGGGATCGAACCTAGGTTTTCCACACTGCAGGCGGACTGTTTCCTGGCTGAGCCACCAGAGAAAACCGGCATATGTACTAGGCACCCCCAAAGAAGTCCTGATTCTAGCAGGCAGCTGAAATGCAGGTCAGGAGAAAGATCTGGAGGGAGACTGAGTGCTGTTCAGAGGGACAGAATCTTATGTTGTGGACCTGGGTAAGATTGGGTGGACCGCAGGCCTCCTCTGAAAACGGTGCCCTGGGGGTGGGGGTGGGGGCAAAGGCAGAGGGTAGCCAGGTGGCAGGCAGCGCAGTGGTCACTAAAAGGTGAGAGTGGGGTTAGCACTATGACTCCTTGGGAAAAGTCTCCCTCATGTCTGCTGATCTGCAGGCAGCGGCCTTTAAACCAGCAATCTACTGACAAAACCCCTGGAATGTCGATTGTCCATAATGAAAGTCACCAGCAGCAGTGCCTTTCATGCTTGGGGGAGGCAGGTCCAAGAGAAGGAATGTGAGAGGAAAGCAAAAGAAATGGATGGAGTGAAGGAAGAATGAATCAGCAAGGGGGAGAAAAAATTAGGAGAACGTATGGTGAGTGCCCTCTACTGGCTCCCAACTCCAAGAGTGTGAGATTTGGAAAGGGTCAAGGTCACAGAAGCCAGGAGGACGTTCCGGAGTCCTGACTCAGTTACAGGAACCAGCACGCACTCCACGACTCCAGGCTCTGACTCCCAAGCCTTCGGCTCCGTAAACCGACGTTGCTTTTTCCGTGCCTGCTGTATTACGACTGTTTAGGTATCCGTTCCCCTCGGCCTCAACCCCCACCTCCCCCCGCCCCGCCACTGGGGAGCTCCCCCAGCACGCGCCGGGCCTGACACTTCTCTCAGTACCCGTAGCCGGGGCCACTGAATGAATGAACCAGCAAATCAATGAATGAGAGAAAGGAGGCGAAGCCCCTGGCCCGGCGCATCGCCCTCCTCGGGCCGTCTCTCCAACCCCGACCCGCCCCGCGGTCCCAGCGCAGTTCCTGCCCGGGGGCGAGTGGCTCGGGCCCCGTCCACGCTCACCCGGCGGGTTCCGCGAAGCAGAGGCCCTGCCGCGGCCGGGCTCCACGCCGCCATGCCCGGCCGACGCGGCCCGCCGTCCGAGGTCGCCGTGTCGCCCAAAAGACGCGGAGTCCGGGACCAGAGCCGCCGCCGCCACGGCCGAGGCCGCCCCCTGCTGCCCGGAGGCCGCGAGCCGCCCCGCACGCCCAGGACGCCCAGGGCCCCGCCGTCTGCCCTGACTCTCTCCTGGCTTCCTCTTCCTCCTAGCCGTCGCCCCCAGTGGGTCCTTCCGCCTCTGCCTAGAAGCCGGTGCTCGGACTTTCCCTCGTCCCAAGGACCCTGGTCCTCTAGGTGGAACGCCCCCATTCCTACTCTCCACCAGAAAACCTGCTGCTAAGCGGAGGAGCTTCGACTTCTCGCTCCATGAGGGAGCCGGGGGAGGATTTTAAGCAGGGGAGTCGTTTTCAGATTTGGGTTTAGAAAGATCATTGGCCCCTGCGAAGAGCGGGGGCAGTCGCAGTGGTCCAGAGACTAAAGGCCTGAACAGCAGCAGGAATGGGAGGAGTGGACTCAGATACCTGGGAGGTGAATGGACTGGAAGACAGTATTGGCGGGAGAGGGGATGAAGCCGTCAGGGATGACTCTCAGGTTTCTGGCTTGGACAATGAAATGGGTAGAGGAGGACTAGGTTTGGGGTGAAGAGGGTCGACTAACTGAGTTTTGGATGTCCCTGAATTTAAGGTGCCTGCAGGAAATGGCTCAGCAGAAGAGCCACTGGAGCCACAGACCTTGGATAGCCTGGCAAACTCTTTGAGATGTTTTGCAAAATTCAAACACCACTCCCATCCCCTGGAAAGCTCAACCAGCAGATCAGCTGGAAGCTAAGGAATGATGTTGACCTTCCCTGACCCTCCTGACTTGAATCAACTAAAACTTTGACTCTTGACAACTTTTGCCCCCATTCTAGACTGAATTTTCTTTGGCCAAGCCCTTTCATGAATGTGCATATAACCTTAGCTTAAAATTTCCCTGCTTTTGCTCTTGGGGAGATACTGTGTTCTCTTTACTTGTTGTCTGACCACCAAGTCATGTTCAATCCTTTGCAACCGCATGGACAGCAGCATGCCAGGCTTCCTTGTCCTTCACTATCTCCCAGAGTTTGCTCAAACTCATATCCATTGTGTCAGTGATGCCATCCAACCATCTCATCCTGTGTCACCCCAGCATCAGGGTCTTTTCCAATGACTCGGCTCTTCACATCAAGTGGCCAAAGTATCGGAGCTTCAGCTTCAGCATCAGCCCTTCGATGAATATTCAGGTTTTATTTCCTTTAGGATTGACTAGTTTGATTTCCTTGCTGTCCAAGGGACTCTCAAGTCTTCTACAGCACCAAAATTTGAAAGCATCAATTCTTTGGCACTTAGCCTTCTCAACTGAAATATAGCCTTCATTATTACTGGACTGCTTGTACCTCCCTATGCAAACTGTGCGACAATATGGCTTATGTGGTAACCAACTCATCTTTTAAAGTCAGTTCAAGCCTTGTCTTCTGATCAGTCATAAATATTCTGTTCAGCACCACTAAAATAATCTGTCACAGAGAAACCTTTTGTCTCCTGTAGGTAGGTTGCCTGAGCCTGAAATAACCTTTTTACTTGCCTGTTAAGTCTTTTCATTTCTGTAGCCCTCTGGAACTCCCCTTTACTGGCTAGATGAGATGCTGCCTTAATTAACAGTCAATAAAGCCAATTAGATTTTTTAAATTTACTGTTGAATTTTGTCTTTTTGACCCTCATAATTTTTCCTTTCATCAGTGCTAATGCTCAATTGTATACAACTCTTTGCAGACCCATGGACTGTAACCCACCGGGCTCCTCTGTCCATGGGATTTCCCAGGCAAGAATACTGGAGTGGGTTGCCATTACTTCCTCCAGGGGATCTCCCTGACTCGGAGATTGAACCCATGTCTCCCGCAGCTCTGGCATTGGGCAGGTAGATTCTTTACCACTGAGAAGCCCCAATTTCTCCTTTGCATTACTGTTAATAGCCTCATTTTTTTTTTCTTTGCTTGATTCTTTAACAATTAGAGTTGGTGGGATTAGGGATAATTTACAAACTTTCACTTTTTCTTCAGAGATGTAACTAAACTGCCAAAGATATTTCTTCCAGAGTATAGTGGAGAATCACCTCTTTGCTACTCAAAACAGGGAGGTCTCAATGAGGCAGACCATATCCCATGACCTAGGCTGGTTGTGATTTAGGGATTGGCTTAGAGTTGGTCACATGATCTGAGCCAGACTAACAGAATTGGTCTAGAGACTTCGGGGAACTAAGGAAAATAAAGGATCATTTGCACCTGGATTGCTAAACTGGTAGAAGGTGTACTCTTGGGGACCATCTTTGTAACCATGTGGGTAGTGCCACAGTGGAAATGAAGCAGGCACAGGAGAGCTGAGAAGAGATACACGTTTGACATCATTTGTGCAACTGGAAACAAGCAGAGCCAGAACTGAACGCTAAAGCAATTTTAATTGGTTTAGTTATTTTTAACTAAGAGACCAGTGTTAAATTCACTGAACTGCATTTGCAAAATTCCTTCTTTCCGTTACTGAAAATCAGTACTTTTGCTCCAACATTCTTCACGTAACTGAACAGTGGCTCACTTTTTTTTTTTTCTCCTGGCTGTGCTGGGTCTTCATTGTAGCCTGCAGACCTCTTTTGCTGCAGAAGCAGGTACAGTAGTCATGGCCCATGAGGCCACGAGCTTGGCTGCCCCATGGCAACTGGGATTTTAGTTCCCCGACGGGATTGAACCTATGTTCCCTACATTAGAAAGCAATCTCTTAACGCCTAGATCCAACCAGTCCATCCTAAAGGAGATCAGTCCTGGGTGTTCATTGGAAGGACTGATGCTGAAGCTGAAACTCCAATACTTTGGCCACCTCGAGAGTTGACTCATTGGAAAAGACCCTGATGCTGGGAGGGATTGGGGGCAGGAAGAGAAGGGACGACAGAGGATGATGGCTGGATGGCATCACCAACTCAATGGATGTGAGTTTGAGTCCATCGAGTCCGGGAGTTGGTGATGGACAGGGAGGCCTGCCTGGCATGCTGCGATTCATGGGGTCGCAAAGAGTCGGACATGACTGAGCAACTGAACTGAAGTGAACTGGATCACCTGGGGAGTGGTTATTTTGGACTATCTGCTTTAGTATCTTCCTCCTACCCTCAGTTTTTGGAACTGCTGTTGGAGCCATCTGAAATGAAAACTTGTCTATTTGCTTAATTAAAATCCTTCAGAGTCATCACCTACAAGTGAAAAACCCAAGTTCTTTCATTTGACTTACCTCTACCTACCAGTCCAATTGAAATATATCCTTCACTAATACTGGACTGCTTGACTTCCCTATACAAACTGTGCAAAAATTCTGTTATGTTGTAACCACCCATCTTTTAAGGCAGTTCCAGTTTTGTCTCCTCCAGGGAGCCAACTGACTCAGGGTCTTTTCCAGTGAGTTGGCTCTTCCCATCAGGTAGCCAAAGTATTAGAGCTTCAGTTTCAGCATCAGTCCTTTGAATTAATATTCAGGGTTAATTTCCTTTAGGGTTGATTGGTTTGATCTCCCTTCTGTCCAAGGGACTCTCAAGAGTCTTCTCCAGCACCACAATTTGAACCCATCAATTCTCCATGATCAGCCTTCTTTATGGTCCAACTCTCTCATCCGTACATGACTACTGGAAAAACCATGGCTGTGACTATAGGGACCTTAGTTGGCAAAGTGATGTCTTTCCTTTTTAATACACTGCCTAGGTTTGTCATAACTTTCCTTCCAAGGAGCAAGCATCTTTCAATTTCATGGCTGCAGTTACCATCCACAATGATTTTGGAGCCCAAGAAAATAAGATCTGCCACTGCTTCCACTTTTGCCCCTTCTATGTGCCATAAAGTAATGAGACAGATGCCATGATCTCAGTTTTTTGAATGCTGAGTTTTAAGCCACCATTTCTACTCTCACCTTCATCAAGAGGCTCATTAGTTCCTCTTCACTTTCTGCCATTAGAGTGCTATCATATGCATATCTGAGGTTGCTGATATTTCTCCTGGCAATCTTGATTCCAGTTTGTGATTCATCCAGCCTGGCATTTTGTATGATGTACTCTGGGTATAAGTTAAATTAAAAGGGTGACAACATAAACCCTTGTACTCCTTTCCCAGTTTTGAACCAGTCAGTTGTTCCGTGCAAGGTTCTAATTGCTGCTTTTTGACCTGAATACAGGTTTCTCAAGAGACAGGTAAGATGGTCTGGTACTCCCATCTCTTTAAGAATTTTCCAGTTTGTTGTGATTCACACAGTCAAAGGTTGTCGTGTAGTCAATGAAGCAGAAGTAGATGTTTTGCTGGAATTTCCTTGCTTTCTCTATGATCCAACAAATGTTGGCAATTTTCTAAACCCAGTTTGTACATCTGGAATTTCTTGGTTCACATACTGCTGGAGCCTACCTTGAAGGATTTTGAGGATGATGTTGTTAAGCGTGTGGAGTGAGTACAACTTTTCTGTAGTATGAACATTCTCTGGCATTACCCTTCTCTGGGAATGGAGTGAAAACTGATCTTTTCCAGTCCTGTGGCCACTGCTGAATTTTCCAAATTTGCTGACATATTGAGTGCAGCACTTTATTTTTTTTTCTTTTTTTTCCCATTTATTTTCATTAGTTGGAGGCTAATCACCTTACAACATTGCAGTGGTTTTTGTCATACATTGAAATGAATTAGCCATGGATTTACATGTATTCCCCATCCCAGTCCCCCCTCCCACCTCCCTCTCCACCCGATCCCTCTGGGTCTTCCCAGTGCACCAGGCCCGAGCACTTGTCTCATGCATCCAACCTGGGCTGCTGATCTGTTTCACCCTAGATAATATACATGTTTCGATGCTGTTCTCTTGAAACATCCAACCCTCGCCTTCTCCCACAGAGTCCACAAGTCTGTTCTATACATCTGAGTCTCTTTTTCTGTTTTGCATATAGGGTTATCGTTACCATCTTTCTAAATTCCATATATATGTGTTAGTATA